TTTATATGCTTGTATCAATAAACATTGTGATAATTGAAAAAACAAGAAATGACTAAATGGCAAATGTACAGATGGTGTTAAAGATGATGTGATCTACAAATTCAGTGTGAATTTTTTTTGTGGACTGCATTTGGATCAGATTCCAGAGGAAATTAATTACTAAATGGGCAATGCATATATGACTGATAGGAACTGAGAAAGAAGTTTAGAGAGGAAATACTACGGTTGGAGTATTATAAAATGGAGTAAACAATGATACAGTAGAAACACTACATATATAGCTATTGTGAATGCGAGCGTGTGGTCTCCACACACCATCAAAGCAGCCCTACTGACTTTATCTCCTATCAATAGAACATATTCATCTAGCTCACATCACAGCTCCTGTTCCCCAGCTTCAGTCCAGTTAAAACTTTTTCTGACTCATTTATACTTATTAAGACCTGAATTACCCACTAAGGGATATGGGTCACATTTCTTAAAATAGATATACAGTAAATTAGGAGAATGTCTGAACATCTTTAGTTGTGGAATACTTGAACAGTGCAAGAAGCAAGAGAAGAGTAGGATTTGTTGAGTGTCTTCATTTTCCTGTTCCAGTGTTGGTGTTATACCTCCACTTCCGTTCACTTGAAGCTAATACTGGAAGTAAAACTCTGATACATTTATACAGAGGAAAGTCAAAAAGTCCTCAACCTAAATTAGATTCTCTAAGATTAAATGCAAGTCCCAGAAGAACAAGATGATAGAATAAGTCTCAGAAACTGCAGAGTAACAATAGGTAACTCCTGGACAGGATGAGCTCTTATATATGAGTACAGCCCACACTGTCCAGCAGTCCAGAGAAACATCTATTTCTCTGTATTCAATAGGTTGGCTTCAGACAGTCCTGTTCTGGAAACTGAACTCTTGTTCATTTTCTTAAGACCACTCACATTTCAGTGTCTCACCCTGGACAGATGCACCCGAGTATAGTGATGCTTATGGCAACAATAGAGTAATCAACTCTGAAACCTTTCTCTGTTTCTAGTTCACCACTCACCTTCGCCACTTGCCCCTCTTGCACACAACAGAAATGGAGAGACGTCTCCACACTGCCTTCACCTGCTTCTTCATCTCCTCTCATCTGGACCAATTCAGTCCCCTTCTAACTACTCTCTCATATGCAGTTGTGTGGCTTTCCATTCTTTCAAAATTGCCATGTGGTTTTAGTGAATGGTATTTATTTATTTAGGTTCTGAGATTTTTAATTTAGACTTGAGACTGGATTGTGCAAATGTCACCTTTGCTTTGATTATAGGAGATTCCTATATTGTTCCCATGCCCCTGCATGTCCCTTTCTTGCCTACATTTGTGGCTTATCTTAGTCCTCATCTCTGCTTGTGCGAGTCTCACCAGTTGCATCAGACTCAAGCCATCCCTGGCCTCGGAGCCCTCTGTCAGACTGGCTGCCTACTAGGATGCTGGTTTATTATTATTATTATTTTTTATTCATTTAGTACAGGGTCAACAGGGTCTCATTTACGTAGATCAGACTCATAGTTATCCTCCTGTTTTCAGTCTCCCAAGAGCTGGGATTACAAGTATGTGCCACTATGCCCAAGATCAATTGCTATCTCAGCGTGCCCCAGGGGTGGGGCCAGCATGGCAGGCCTGAGGATAGAACCCCCAGCCCCTGAGTCTGCCTAAGCAGGTGCTTTAATCTGCTGAGCCATTTGGCGACAAGGGAGAAAAAGAAGAAAAGGATGAGGTTGAATGTGGATGGAAGATGAGTTGTGGTTGATACACTATGAAGGCCTCTACTGGCTCCAGGATGATTTGATGATTTCTGGAGCTGGAATTACTCCTCAAACTTAACATCCAGTTGGGGTTTTTGGGTTGAAATACTGTATCCTTCTATTGATGAATCACTGGGTGGGTATTGACTGTCCCTATGGATAGAAATGACATGAATAAATGTCTTTTTTCAAAAAACATCTGAAGGAGGCTGATGGTGGAAGACTGAGGCATGACAGGAAGTGGAAGAGATGGCTTTCGTGAGACTGCCTAGCTTGTGAGGTGAGAAGAATACAGAGGTGTGAACGGGGCACTGGAGGAAATGAGCAAATGAAAGAAGCATAGCAAAATACCCACAAAAAGGAGAGTCTGAGAATGAGCGATAAAGTACAGTAATAAAAGTAATAAGCACGTTGATGTAACAAAAGCAATTGGGACAAATGCTGGAAACCAAAGAAAAACCTTTCCTGGGTGTTTAGTTGGGGCAGAATATGCTGCACAAATTGCATGAGTTCAATCTTCAAAGCAGCCCTGTACAATTGGCATTAATATTACTCTGATTATGTAGAAAAGACCTCTTTGAGGGATTTAAAAGTATGCTGATGATGGATGTCTAAACCGTCAGGGCCAGACTGAATCTCACCCAAAGCACATAATTTTTTCCTACCTTTAAGGAGACAGTGATTTGTCATCATCTTTAAGGAAAGAACAATAAGCAAATATACTGCAGTTTCTTTGGAGATAAAAGTTAGAATTTCCAAGAAGGATATTATTCTTCTAAGAAAGTTTAAGGGCAGCATGATGACAGGAGTCATTGTGTTTTCTGAGTTTTTTTGTTTGTTTGTTTTGTTTTTTTAATGTGTGGATCCTGGTAAACAAGTGGACCAAAGCATAGAGATATGGTATATCTTTAGGAAAAATAGGCATGAAATTTTAAAATAGAAGGCAATAATTGAACATATTTAGTTGTTAAAGGACAACTCAGAGAAAGAGAAAGAGCATAGCTGTCATCGAAGGAGAAAATGTTCAATGGAACACGAACCTCAAGAGAAGGTAGAAAGGGATCAGAATCCAAGAAAAGTTGCAGTGGAATGCAATTTGTCCTCCTACTTGTAGAAGAGAAAAAAGTAAAGATGGCATTAACAACTGACTGGCTGTCAGGGCCAAAGTAACAGATCCTGCATCATTAACGTTGCTCAGTTTATCCTTACTTCCAGCATGCACCTTTGTATTCTAAGTGAGCATGTGCTCTCAGTTATGTTTACTCGTCGTGCATACCACATGCTCTAGCTAGAAGAAAATCAAACAAAGGGAAAGGTGTTCTAAGCTGTAGACTTCTAAAATGAAGCGAAGATAGGACTAAAACTGAGATGGAATGAGGGGAAAGAACCTAGAATGAAGATGGGCTGGGAGTTGTCAGTCCGAGTAACAGTGGCAGATCCTGACAGGCTTGGGATGAGTAAGCTTGTGGCTCAGCAGCTCAAAACAAAAGACTCAGAAAACCCCACATCCTGAGCTGGGGCTGGAAACCATGAGCTGGGCAGAAGTCACGTATTTCCTCCATGAGCCACATTCCTTAGACAGGAAGCTCTCAGATGGCCCTGAGAAGTCAAGGCCTGTCATATTTCTTAATTCAATTAATAGACCTTTTAAACTTGGATGATACTAGACCACCTATCTATTCTTTGGCACGGGGCTAAGTGAAATAGAGAACTTTTTGCCAACCACAGTATCTTCCAGATAAAAAATACTGAATGTGTTCACTTCTGAATAGTTTTCATCCTTCAAATTAATTCTTTTGGGGTATAGAAGAGGGGGAAAAAAGTCTATACTTCCCACAGCAAGCCTTCAGTTCATGGTCAGTGTCAGGAAAGGGGTAGTCAAGTATGTCAACTTTACTCTTGAATTTTGAAATGACCTCCATTCAATTTTTCTTGTGTTAAAAACTTATCTAAAAATCCATGGAAAAGTACTGCTGAATTTCATATATTAGTATGAAACTAAATAAAAGAAAGCATCTCTCCCTTTTATTTTTGAATAAGACTAAAGACAGGAGCAAATGTAGTGAGATAGAAGCCAGATGTGTCCCTAGGTCATGGGCCGTTTCCTAGACTGTTGGTCTTAGCTAGTTCTCTCTAGACTTCTTATCCCACCTCTGGCAAGGAAAACAGTAATTGTGATGTCCTTGAAGATATTGTCCAAAAGGTTTTTTTTATCCGAATTTGAAGTAGTTTCAAAGTCAAATTCAAAAGATCTTATTATGTTCTTCTATAAAATGAAATTTTTGTGTTACAAATAGAACTCAGGACCTTGTACTTGCCAGGCGGGTGCTCTGCCACTGAGCTATATATTCCCAGCCAAAATCAATTACACTTTGGGTTTCCAAGTTGTCACTGAAGAAACATCTAATGAAAGTTTACATGCCATCTATATTTCAAAAGAGGGAGAGATGTTACTTAATCACACATAGAATAATTATAAATAATGATTATAAATCCAAATCAATTATGAGGAATGTTTTTCTGTGTTCTCCCAGAAAGGAACTGAAGAATGAACTGTGACATTTGAGTTTCTGCTAAGACTCCTCCTAAGTATCAATAGTTTTTGTGAATGTCTTGAATTGAGTGCCTAAATATTTTTCTCTACCTTGAAGTCTTTATTAAAGCCAGAGCTGATTATTTGTATTAAGAAAAAGTGGTTCACACTAGAAGAAAGTAATAGTCTCAAGTTCAAAGTGGTTTTCAACTTCTGCCTTTAAGACTGAGTGCTTTGTGGTAGGATTTTTAGTTGTGGCTTACCACATATATTTATATCACCATATCAGAGTGGTTTTAAAGGGAAGTTTTCAGCTCTGTAATTAGCAATCCACAATGGAAGCTTTGACACTTAATTACAGCATTGCTAAGACAATAATAATGTGAGAAACACTAAAGTTGAATGCAGTATTTCTTGACACGCCTCTAGCTGCTTTCTTATTGGCTGGGCACTAATTATATATGACAAGTGAATAATACAAACAGAAATGAAGATGTCTACACCGTGTCAGCATGTATTTACAGCAGGTACTTCTAGTTAGGCCAAGTTCAGTCACCACTTTTGATTTGGACTAAAACATTATGGCCAGGAGCTGTGAAGATCATCAGAGACTGCTCTAGACTCGAAGAATCCTCCACGTTCTGCATCATCTCACACTCTATGTTGGATTGTATTACAAAGGAGAGAGGATGGCATTTTATCCCCTGCAGATTGCTGGACTGGCTCTTGGGTTCTTTGGCATGGTCGGGACCATTGCCACAACTCTTCTGCCTCAGTGGAGAGTATCAGCTTTTATAGGCAGCAACATCATCATCTTCGAGAGGATCTGGGAAGGACTCTGGATGAACTGTGTCCGACAAGCCACACTCAGGCTTCAGTGCAAGTTCTACACCTCCATGCTGGCCCTGCCACCTGTTGTGGAAACAGCCCGAGCCCTCATGTGTGTGGCCATTGCTCTTTCCTTCATTGCTTTAATTATTGGCATCTGTGGCATGAAGCAGGTCCAGTGTGCAGGTTCTGATGAGAGGGTGAAAGCATACCTTCTGGGAACTTCTGGAGTTCTCTTTATCCTGACAGGCTTCTTTGTTCTGATTCCAGTGTGCTGGACTGCCAATATCATCATCAGGGAATTCTACAACCCAAATGTCCCCATCGGTCAGAAACGAGAGTTGGGCGCAGCCCTTTTCCTGGGCTGGGCGAGCACTGCTGTCCTCTTCATCGGAGGAGGTCTACTCTGCGGATTCTGTTGTTGCAACAGAAAGCAGCAGTGGCAGAGATATCCAGCACCTCCATACTGTGTGCCACAGAGAGACAAGCGCAAGAATGCGACAGTGCTCAGAAAGACCTCCACCAGCTATGTCTAGCACTTGCTTTCAACACGAAGTAAGGATTATGGTCATTGCATGTTTGAAAGTCCTGCCAGAAATTGTAAGTACTATAGGCAGGAGAACTTTGCTTCATAGCTACATTAAAAATGAGATGAAAATTGTAATTTGTTACATGAGGTGGAGATGTACATGATCTGCTTTCCTGTTCTGATCTCTTGTGTATAAATGCAGCTCTTATTTATTGGACTCAATCCCATTTCAATTTATGTTGTCTAAAATCATGTATATTCTTAATCATTAAAAACTACATAATTAAAAAAAAAACAAAAAACTACATAATTGTGTTCTCTTTGGTAGCACATATATAAAAACTATATAACAATGGCTTTTTCCTTTCTGACTATCATATGTTTTTTGGAAAGACATGTAAAATTGTAATTGATTATTCATAACCCTAGAACAAAGCCTATGATTTTTTCCAAATTATTTCTTATAGACTTAAAAACAGCTAAATTGTGATGATCTAGTAGTGGGGGGAGGGTAGCTCAGTAGAATAAGTGCTTGCCTGGCAAGTGCAAGGGCCTGAGTTCAATCCCTGGTTCCACAAAAAAAAAAAAAAAAAAAAAGAAGATGATGAGGAAGAAGTAGTAGTCATTTTGGGTAACTTCATCCATCAAATAATGGCTTTTGGTTGAATTCATGCAAATGGTGAATTCTTGTTCAATGGCAAAGTATTTTTTGTTTGTTTGTTAGCTTCTTTTATTTTTGTTTTAAAGCTTACACACTTTAAAAGATAAAGAAGCTCTGATTTCTCTAAGATCAAAAATGAAAATGACTTCTAAGTCCCCAGTACAACAGGGAAACTTCCTTAGAATTATGTATTTAAAATGAAATAATTTATGGATTCAAAAAAGTATGCTTTCATAGCATATGATTTTCATTTCTGAGCAAACATTTTGACAGGGCGCCTAAGTGCAGAGCTATCATGAATTCTCATCAAAAAGGATACACATCATGATTACAGAATTTAGATTTGGGTGTTGAAGGGAATTGTTTCTGTTCCTTTTTTTATTCTTTAGTTATTATACAGGTCTAAGCATGCTTTTCAAACAGAAGGATCAAAGTGATCCTTCAGGTAATTAGGTATTCTTAAATAAATATCATTTTTAATCTCTAATATGCAAATAGTTATGGTGAAGGTATTTCACGATACTTTAATTACATGCATTATTTTTTCAATTGTTCACTTCCCGTGTGTTTTTACCAAAGTACAGGTTCAAAATGATGTGGGAACAGTTGGACATAAATGGGTGGAAAGTGTTTGTGAGGCAGGGTTTCTCCTACATTCTGCTTCTCCAGAACCCAAATGTTTTGTGAGTCAATGCTTGTATATTCAACTTCATCTTCATGTATTGTTTTTATGTTACGTTATATATAATTTATAGCATATAGTAGCAAAAAATTGAATTCATTCATGAAATACTTATTGTATACTCATCCTTATAAAAATAATAAAAGTTACATATTATAATAATTTGTTATGAGTAGAATATATTTATTAAGGGAAAGAAAGCTCCTGTCTGAGACAGACAGAGAGGGTGCCTGAACGGGTGGTTCTCAGGAAGCTATTTTTTCCCGGGACTTTTATAGAGGAAAACCATGTGGTTAGGTGGGTCTAAGGTGGTAGAGAAGACAGGAGAACTCACTTAGATGGACATGAGGTGGGAAAAAGCTATGGTCAACCAATGAGGTTACAAGCACCATTGCTCAGGTAAAATTGATTAGATCCAGTGCCAAATGGGGAAGTGAGTCACATAGCAAGTGGACATGAATATGGGACAGGGTCTCTTCCTGTTGTGGGTTGGGCTAGTGACTTATTGGGGCTCTTTCAAGGTGACTGATACCTATTTGAATATCAATCCCTGACATCTATCCCTAGGGAAGTATGTAGCTGTGTTTCCTCTTTTGTCTTGATCTCAAGGTGTGGTCCATACAGGAGTGCCTGTCTCTTCCAAGTTGTAAAGTCACCTTGTCTTCCATCTTGTCTCCTTGAGAGTCTGGCCCTATAATCACTGTTGACACATCAATTTAGAACAAATTTCTTTCCTCAAAAGTTCACTTCCTGTCTCTGACTTAAATTAACAAAGATTCAAAGTGATATTTCCATCTCAAATCTTTATTGCATTCTACAAATCACCAGCAATGCCTTGGAAATTTTTAGTACTGTAACACTGTATTAAAACCATTAATGATATTTACACTAATGATCATACAATGGTAAATATGTACACTTATTTGAAATAAATATTTAAGTCAGTGACATATACAGTTTCCTTAATATTTATTTCTTAGCTAATATTGGCCATATTGAAAAGGACTGATTTATCTTTTACAGTCAAATAAGACAAGAAGACACATATTACTAAAATTTGTGATGAAATTATTTACTTTGCCTTTTCTCTCATCCAGACATAATGAGTCTTACATGGATGGGTTTCTTTTATTAAATGAGGTATGTGATTCTGCTGAGAGGATCAGAGTAAAGGTTTAACTGTGGGTGGAACAATGAGATAACATTAGCTACTAATTGTGTGTCAAAAAATCTAGAACTGGGCTGGCCAGGTAGCTCAGTGGACTAAAGTGCCTCCTTACCCAGGCGTGGGAACCAGGATCCCATCTTGAGGCATGTCACTCTGGCCCCTGGGGGCATGCTGAGATGGCAATTGAGACTGGGAGTGGTGGCATGCAGATGTAATCCCAGCTCTTTGGGAGGCTGAACACAAGCTGATCACTACGAGTCCAATCTACCTGGTAAGAACCTGTGGACCCTGTAGACCCTTAATAAAAAGTAAAAAAATAAAATAAAAAAATCTAAAACTAACAATTATGACACTTTCTCTTTCATTAATCGAAGGGTACTTTGACAAGTTATGTCTACGTCCCCTATTTGACGGTAATATTTTCTCTATTGCACCAATAAGAAAGTTCAGAAATTTTCAATAAATTTTAAGATATATGAGGGGTGTAAATCTCATACCACATACTGAAGTATGCAATACACATGTCCCAATTTTCTAAAATTTAACCAAAATTTCACTCATGCATACTTTCTGACATTTAAACCAGTACTTGACATCTTATGTCAGGTTTAGCAGTATTTGAGGTGGTGAGTTCAGGTGATCAATCCAAGATCATCATCCAGGACAGTATTTGGGAAACTGAATATCATGCCACTCCTTGGTCTCTTTATGCTTCTCAGCTCTGTCATTTCTCTGCCACACTTGGTCATCTTCGGAAAGACTTGTTCTTGGATCCTTTATCATCTCTGGATTACAAAGTTGGCTGCATATTAGAAGTGTGTTGGAGAACTTTAAAAAATACCAATGCATCCACTGTTAAGATGATTTCTGCCACTATGTCCAATAGTTTTGACTAAGAACTTAACCTGTTCACCTGATTGGCACCTTCCCACTAGTACTGACACAGAGGGAATTACTGCTTCCCTCAGAAGAATGGTTTTTGATGTTATCTCCACAATCTCCCTTCTTCTTTTCTGTTTTATAAAACTTGCACAATTTCATACAGGCTTTCCAAAACAAAGTATGTCAATAGTGAAACTCTTCCTACCCTATTTTTTGTCCCTCATTTTACTACAAAATTCAGTGAAATGCATAGCTAACTACATTGTTAGGTGAAGATCTCAGAAAGGAAGAAAATATGAAGAAAGGAATATAAATTATTGTGGCATATTATCTGACACACATGGTCAAAGATGTTTCATAGGTACAATTCCTTTGTAATTTAAAAAATTCATGCTAATAACTATTTTCCTTTACAAAATCCTTGACATAATCTAAATATAAAATTGTTCAGGACTCTCTTTCTTCTGAGACTCACTGTATAATGTGGACAGTGTAGATTTTAGTACTACAATAATTTAACTAAAAGAATTAAAATTTACACTGTTTCATGACTTAGCTTATAGCTTACACAGAGAAATAAGGAATCCAAAAGTAGTAATGAATCTAGACTTAAGATATATTTGAAAAGTGATTATGAACCCATTTTCAGACAGGATAGAGGTTTGAGATTTTAGCTAATATGACTTCCTCCTTCTCCAGGGAAGATACAAAACAATGGAACTCAGAAACATAAAGACAGCTGTTGGTTTTTGAGTCAGAAAAGTATGAACTGAGAGGAGACTCTGGGCAATAAGCAGTACGACTTAGCCATGGGGAAGCCAAGATGTCATTGTACTTAAGTTTGTAAAATGATTAATGCTATAAGGATAAAACAAAATTACAGTGAAGAAAGTCTACATAACAGTGAATCTCTGGAGAAGATGATAAGGTGCTCTTTCCCTAGTCTGGCTCCTAAGAACTCAGACATACAGAAATGATACATTCTCAGCTGGGTCTGAGAGTCCAAGGGCAGATACGCACTCTGGCATTAGTCAGACTAGCTGAATATGTGCACAGATTTTCCCATGCCTTCCCTGTGCTGAGGGATGAGACATGTCTGAGATGTACATAAGCTAAAAGGCTAAATATCACCTTGCAATGTTGCCTACAGCTAGATACTATGGGAGCAGAAGAACATGTGTCCAGCCCCCTAAGATTGTCAGACTCAGAGGCCCAGACTTTAGAACCAGGAGGGTCAGTGATAACATAAGCACCCAGATAAGTGACCCACCATGACCTGTTTGACCTCAGGTCCATGTCTCATTCTTAATCTGCACTGATCTGTGTCCAATGGAAGCTGGTGCCCAGGGATGTGCAGTGGTGTGTTAACAGTGGGTGGTAAGAAAGTCTCATCATGTACAAACAAGCAAAGAAAAGAAAGAATTTAGGATGAAAGAAAGAGAAAGAAAGAAAGAGAGAGAGAGAGAGAGAGAGAGAGAGAGAGAGAGAGAGAGAGAAAGAGAGAGAGAGAGAGAGAAAGAAAGAAAGAGAGAAAGAGAAAAAAGGAAAAGCTTCCATCTCCAAAGAATTCAAAAGCACTAGTAAAACTATCTATTTGAATATTAAGTCTGTTCA